TGTAAGAGTGGGTAAAAGAATGGCAAGTAGTATTTAGCCAGTGGTAAAAAACAAACAAAAATGGCTATGCATAAGACTGCTTCTATATATTTATAGTTTGCAATATGGAAATGAAAATTGGATATGTCAAAAGAAACGTAAAAATAGAATGCAGTAACAATGACGTACGTAAAAACATATGTGATATAATAAGAAATATGTTCAAAAAAGGAGGGTAGATGAACATGGGCTGAACCCAAAATAAAGTAATCAGCAGCACAGATAGTTCTTGCTTAAATGCCTTTGGTTTAGCAACTGTTTGAAGGCATTGAAAAGGGGATTTAAGATGCAGCTGTCACAGTGTCCCGTGATTGCAACTTAGGCACTTGGCAGCCACTTTGCAGTTGTGATGTTGCAATGTCCTGTGATCGTGTTAATACCATTTGCAAGCTTTGCTGCCAGCTTCTGACAAGCAAAGTCAGCGGGGAGGCCAGTAAGTCACAAATGGTGTCATTTATCTGTAAGACATGCATCACCTACTGATGGCACCTAGAATTGCCAGAACTCGACATGATCATGTGACATCATGCCTTACAACTGCATCACTTAGTTGCAGAGCTCCTGGCCCTAATTACTGTTAAAAAGCGAGAATACATTGCATGAAAAAAGTACATTGAAGGATTTGTTCACAGAGAGAGAATATTAATAATTTTAAAAAAATATATGAAAGAAGGATAAATGTGAGTGGCAGGGAAAGACAGAGTTTGTTATTCTAGGACAGTGTTGAGGAGATACTTTTAAAAAAGAAAATACAGGTAGTCCTTGAATGGAATGCCCATTCTATTCGTAACCAGAGGATTCATGGGAGTGAATCTTGTACCTTGAATGAGATCACTCCTTCCTTTCGCCCACACATTCGCTAATTGAATGTGAGGCTCGTTAAAGCACAAGGTATTTCAGGGTGGGGAAGGCCATGGAGGGATGGAATAGGCCACCTGCCTAAGACCACCCAACCCCCCTCCGACCCTCTGAAATACCTCATACTCCCCAAACTGCAGTCTCCTCTGCAGCCTTGTGCGCCCCTCTGTAGTTTCATGTGGCAGGCTGAAATGGAGCCTCTGGCGGCCGGATCCGGCCCTCCAATGCTCCATTCGGCCCTCCACGGGCCTCCCTGGCCCATTGCAGGTCGAAATGGAGCCTCTGGGGCCCAGTCCCTGGAAGCTCCATTTCTGCCTGCAACGGGCCGGAGTGACCCGTGGAGGACTGAACGGGGCTTCTGAGGGGTGGATCCTCCCCTCAGTAACTTATTTAGGCCGGCAATGGGACAGACAAGGCCTCTGGATTTCTGAAGAGGACTTCTAAAGGGTGGATCCTCCCCTCAGAAGCTCCATTTTGGCCTGCAAAGGGCAGGGGAGGTCCACAGAGGGATGAACAGGGCTTTTGAGGGTCGCATCCTCCCCTTAGAAGCTCCATTTTGGTCGGAAACAGACCGGGTGAATGTTGCAGAGCCTTTGTGATTGTTCATAAAGGCAAACAACTGCCATGGTGCTGCAAGGTTTGTAGTTTCAGGCCATGTTCGCAAATGCTAAGTGTGCACTTTTCGCATAACTTTGAACGTTCATTAAGAGAACACTCGTAACCCAGAGATTACCAGTAGAAGCTTAAAGAATAAGCAAGTATAAAGGTTTGCATGGACATGATAGAAGCAAAAATAATATGCAAGGATAAAATGTAATCACCGAACTGGTAGTAACACCGATTGAATCCCATCCCTTCCTTTATGTATTTATTTATAGCCTGCCTTTATTATCTTTATTAATAACTCAAGACCATGAACTACCTATGTACACAACTCAAAAACAATGATCCATTCAACAATTATGTAATGTGAAGTATCAATTTGTTATCCAAATAAAAACATTATGCCATCACTAAAAGCAGAACTGAAGTTGTACTTTATAAAATAATTTGATGGAAGTTATAAGTAACACAGTGAAGCTAATATACTCCTCCTTGCTTAAAAGTCTGTGCTGACCAATTGGCCCCCATCTTCACCCAAATCTTCAATAAAACACTGGAGATGTGCTATGTTCCTTCTTGCTTCAAACACTCTACTATCATCCCAGTGCCAAAGAAGCCCTCCATCAAGGAACTGAATGACCAGTTGCTCTAACATCTGTAGTTATGAAAATCTTTGAAAGGCTAGTGCTGTCCCACCTGAAAACCATCACGGATTCGCTGTTAGATCCCATGCAGTTTGCATACCAAGCAAATAGACTGACAGATGATGCTGTTAATATGGCTCTGCATTACATCCTACAACACCTTGAATCTCCAAATACCTACGCAAGGGTCCTCTTTGTAGACTTCAGTTCAGCATTCAATATCATCAGTCCAGACATTTTTTTAAATAAATTAAACCAGCTATCGACTGTTTCCTTGTATGATTTGATTGCTTTTTGTACTCTATGACTATTATTAAGTTTTGTACCTTATAATCCTTGACTCTTGACGAATGTGTCTTTTCTTTTATGTATACTGAGAGCATTTGCACCAAGACAAATTCCTTATGTGTCCAATTACACTTGGCCAGTAAAGAATTCTATTCTATTCTATTCTATTCTATTCTATTCTATTCTATTCTATTAGGTTATGATGTATAATTTGACTTTTAACCTAATTTGAAGATGAGCAAATCATGCAATAGACAAGTAAATAAATAAAAACACAGAAGAAAGAGCAAATGGAATGGATATGGAAATTATAAGGAACTAGCTCGATACCTGTGCTTCGCTACCAAACTATGCGGTCGGGCTTAGTTTTTTGGGAGGAAAATAAGGGGAAAAAATTCTGCCTCTGCCTACCAGCATCCATTGGTATTCATCTGGCTAACATCCTGTCAGTGTGTTGAGGGCTGTTTGGAAGCTGAAACAGTATTTGCTGTGTGAGCAAGGAGACAGCAAGGAGCCTAGGCATGGCTTAGCTCAACTGTTCTGTACTAAAGCTGCTTGGTGCTGAGAAAGCAAAAGTGAAACTGAAACTCCTCTCCTCTGCTTGTGTTTTATATTTGGAAGATATTTCTTTTCAGGTGGAGAGGGGGAATAGAACTCCTTAGCATCAAAGCGTGTTAATAGTAATATACGAAATACTAATTGCTCTGATGGTCATTTCGAAAAAAACTTTTCTTAGTGAGCACCTAGAAGCCAAGAGGAACATATGTGCCAAATTTCAAGTTTGTAGGCTTTACGGTTCTGGAGATTTTGTGATGATGCATGAGTGGTATTTTGCTTTCATATATAGATTTATTTATTCAAATCAGAATGGATTAAATTGCTGATTGCCTTCTTGGAAATGAGATGAAATCTATTTTTATTTGCTTTCTACAAGCAGGAAATGTATTTAAATTTAAATTTTGGCTTTTCACTATTTTATAAAATTATGTTGTTTCATATTCAAGTTTGAGAAATGATAGCAATGGCAAAAATGTTAATGTTTTTCTAGGTTTATTTATACAAGGTGTGGACACATTATATCTTGCATATCTTTATACAGGTAGTTCTCAATTTACAGCCACAACTGAATCCAAAATTATGGTGCTAAGTGAGAAATTTATTAAATGAATTTTGGCCCATTTAATGACTTTTCTTGCCACATTTGTTAAATGAATCATGGCAGTTGTTAAATTAGTAACCTGGTTATTAAGTGAATCTGATTTCCCCATTGACTTTGCTTCTCAGGTGACAAAAGATGTTCACATGATCCTGGGACACTACAACTGTCATAAATATGAGTCAGTTATCAAGCATCTGAATGTAAATCACGTGACCATGGTGATGCTACAACAGTCATATGTCTAAAAAATGGTCATAAATCACTTTCTTCAGTGCCATTTTAACTTCAGTCACGTAAGTTGAAGACTACCTGTATTTTGAAAATAAAGAACATATACTGTTTGGGCTGAAATTCAAAGATTAGTTTCAACTCTGCATTCCACATTAAAAAAAAATCTGCTGTGACCCACTTTAGGTGAAAAAAACAATAAAAAATATATGCAGATAAAATAAGGATAGGGATTTCACTCATAATAAAAAGTGTGGAGTGTACAGCATTTGAACCACTGAGTGGATTAATATAAAGCCAAAACAACAAAAAGTAGCCACTTTTAAGCTGTGTTAAATGAATGTCGATCAATATTCACACTGTACTGACTTCGCATGTACTAAGAGGCTTTCCATTTTTTACAAATATCCATTACATATAAAGAGACAGCACTGCACCGATTTGGGTCATTTGCATAAAGATGACATTATTCTAATTGTAAAATGACTGGCCCCGAAAATTTCACGCCAAATTCTGTATCACAGACGTCTATTAAATCGAGCTCTCACTGCCATTAAAATGTATGGCTCTTTGGTGTCATTCCTTTGACAACAAGAGAGATCGTTAAAAAGAATCTTATATTTATTTATCTTAAGATATTGATAGTTAATATTTGATCAATATATATCTTAATATTTATCTTAATAAGATAAATACTGATCAAATATACCTTATTTTTTTAAAGTTTGCTTAGGAAAAGCACATTTGAAGAGCTTAAGAGGAAAGTGTTTAGGGAATTTGAACCGATAAGCCTACTACGAGACAAGCGCAGCGGAAACGCAACACAAGACCGACACCTCCGCCAGACTGACAACTCGCACCTCGCAGCTGGAATAAAAACCACTCCGCCTGTATCGCCGGGACCAGAAGACTTCCCTTTCTTTCGGAATCTTCCGGTGCACGAACCAATAAGGCAAGCTTCCCTGCACAGCCCCTTTCCACACCCCTCCCCACCCCGCCTCGCGCCCTATCCCATGAAAAAACCGCCGCCTTTCCTCTTCTGCCCGCCCTTTCCGGCCTAATCAAACGCGGGGATTGGCTTTTCAGGTGAGGATTTTTGACGAAGCGGGCAGCCAATAAGACAGACCCTGAGAGCCTCCTCCTTCTCCTCCCCCCCCCTTTCCCCTCTTATCCCCGCCCCTTTGCTTTCTTATTCTTCTTCACCCGCGTTACCTTGGAACCTGCTGTAAATATTCGGGAGCACCTTGGTGACGCGGTGGCGCCTTTAAGGGAGCCCCGGCAACCGTCCGGCTCCGTCAGGGGTGGGGGATGTAGAGCCCCCGGAGTCAGGTAGGGCGAGGGGCTCGCTGGGAGAAAGCCGGAAACCCGGGGGTGGCGGGCGGGCTGGCATTACGGGGCAAGGTTTCTTGGCACTCGCATTGTCTCGGTTCCTCGCTGGTAGCCTCTAGCTCCCAGGTTGGGAAATGACTGCTTCCAACGTCCCCCGCATCCTCGTTTTGTCAGTGCTCTTTTTTCTTTTCATACACTCTATAACGACTGGTGACTCCCTAAAGCCAGAGGCAGCTTTATTTGGGGTGCCAGTGATAGACAGGGGGACTGGCACTTAGAAGGGTCGGTTTATTTGGGGTGCCAGTGATAAGACACTTTTGGCTGGCACTTAGAAGGGTCAGTTGCCTCCCCGATCCATCTGACTTAATGCATTTTTTTTTTACGAGTCTACCTCTTATTTAACTCGCTGGGTAATCCTAGGACAATCATTCTCTCCCAGCCGAGCCTACCCAGGAGGGTTATGGTGAAGTAAAAGTGGAAGGAAAGATGTCGACTTAAGTTACCTTGGAGGAAAAGTGGAATAGAAATATAACACCACAAGTGAAGTTTGGGTAGAAATGTCATAAATGGAACTTCTTCCACGGCAAAGCTGCTGTTCAGTTCCCCCCACTCCTTTCTATCACTCTTATGTTTACCTATACCCAGGATAATTAAAAGATAATAGTTCAAGGACCATAAATATTTGCAAAGTAATGCAATCCTAGTTGTGCTTACTTACAGTTAAATCTCATTGAGTTCAGTGGAGGTTAATGAGACCAGAATTTGCAACCAAAATAGGTTAAGATTTCAAAAGCATCAAACCTAAGTGTCTCGAAGTGGAGTGAGCACCATGGAAAGTTAATATGAGAACAAAACATCTTTTTACTCTAATTATGTGATGGTCCTTTCTTCTTCCTGTAACATTTCAAAAACTAGATGAGAAGATACATACAATGTCTTCTATAATATGGGGAAAATCAAGATATTAGTATATTGTTTCCATTTTCTTTCTTACTAGGTGTATTCAGATTGGGTAGGTACACTCAAAAGAATATACAGTTCTTAGCAGCTTTATGTTTTTACTGGCAAAACATTTTCTTTTTTTATGCTTGCTACTTGATTAATTTAACTATATTTAAAAATTGGTGGTAGGAAATCAGATACATAAAATATATTTACATATTATATTTATAATATAAAAGCTATCATAAACAGATGTTCTAGAAAATAGACTTCACTGAGCACTGGGATTTACTTCTGAATAAACATAAATGATTTAGATTATTCCATATTATTTAGTATGAAGTACTTCTGTTTTACACTGGCAGGAAGAGGAAAATGTGCCTTGCTTTCATTATGTTATCTCATGGGGTAAAATATCCACAGTGGATTCATTTGAGATTACCACATGGTGGAAAACTTGGACTGAATGAAATTTGCTTTTATCCTTATTTATTTAGGTGATTGCTTTTTGTTTTGGGCTTAAAAATTTTGGGATAGTAATATTTTTAAAATCAATTTCCAAGTTTAATATCAAGTAAATGTATTTAAAAATATCACAGAATATGCAACTCAGAGACATTCCATCTTCTCTTGCTATATTTATACATTATAAATATATTAAAATACCTGGTGTTACCACTCAAGTAACATCTTAAAAAGAACATATATTTTCTAACTTGCTTCTTGGCATCATTTACTAGGCTTTTTAATTTCTTTCATGGATAGGTATGCATAAATATTGCTTTTGTAATGACAATCATATACTCTCAAAGTCATTGCATTTGCAATAGAGAGAGCAAAACAATTCTGTGCTGAATTGTAAGAACTGATGTATTGTTGTATTATTTGTCCAGTACACAAGCTATTAAATCAAACTGAAACTGCATTGAATTTAATCAAATTTGTACTTGAATTGAAGCCTGAGAATTCAGTTATAGTCAGAATGGTAAAGTCGAAAGAAAATTGCATCAAAGTAAACAAGTGAAGCTGCATATCCTTTTTGATTCCTTTTTATATTTATTATTCAATTTCCTGAAGAAACAAACATTGAAGTACATCATGTTCTATATAACTGTGAACATAATTGAAAATAAAACCCATGAGGGAAAAATTATACAATGATTCTGAAAGGTTAGAAATAGGTTTTCATGATTTTAAAGTGTACTATGCTGTTGTAGCTGTTATAAATTTAATTTCATTCCAGTCACATTAAAATTTCAACCAGTCAAACTCAACTGGCAGCTTTTCATACAGTGATTTGCCATTTTCTTCCTCTGGGTTGTTTTACTAGTTTCCCCATCTAGCCAAAATCTATCTGAATTTTAAACTTATCACATACATTCATAGATAAGTTGACCCTCAAAAAATCTACAGCCGCAGATAAGCTGTTAGGAATATAAGTCACCTAACAGCTATTTGGGTTAGAAATATATAAACCAGGATAAACATTTTAGTACTATATCTTTAAGAAAATGCAAAACTGTAATTAGGTGTCGTTTCTCAAATGGCCATAAGATGGAGCAGGAATCTGGTTTGTTTTAGTCTTAGTCTCAGAAGAGAGTGTGTCTGAGTGAGTATCACTGTTTCCTTCTGTGTGCTCCATTTCTTCTAATTGACTGATATTACTGGATTTAATGTAAGTCTTACTGAACTGTTTTTTTGACACTGGACTGGATTATCCCTGGATTGAAAAACTGACTGATTTTACCTGTGAATGACTTTTGGACTGCTTATTTTGGACTTTGCTTAAACCTTTCTGGAAGTAAAAAACCTACATTTACTGTACAGTGTATCTGTGTGCTCTATGTGTATTATTCCAACACTACTCTCTATACGTCTCCCTGTATGCACTCATTTTCCTAACGGGGAATTACCTCAACATAAGATAACCATCAAAATATTTGTATGTTTTAATTTTCAGTTTACTTACCTATGGATAATTGACAGATTATATATTTTCATGGTATTTTGGTCAGATCAATTTATCCAGAAATGTGCTTATTCACAAGTATATGTGGAAAACATGACTACTTTATACATCATACTTATGGATAAAGTATAAGTAGGCCTCAATTTATGACCACTATTGAGCCCAAAATTTCTGTTGTTAAGCGAGACATTTATTAAGTGAGTTTTGCCCCATTTTACAATTCTTTTTGTTACTGTTATTAAATGAATCACTGAAGTTGTTAAGTTAGTAACATGGTTGTTAAGTGAATCTGGCTTCCCTATTGACTCTGCTTGTCAGAAGTTCACAAAAGGTGATCACATGACTCCAGGACATTGCAACTGGTATTAATATGACGCGAATTGCCAAGCTGCTGAATTTTGATCACGTGACCATGGGGATGCTACAACAGTGTGAAAAACAGTCATAAGTCACTTTTTTCAGTGCTATTGTAACTTCAAACGGTCACTGAATGAACTTTTGTAAGTTGAGGACTACCTGTATATTCTCTCAGATAAGCCCATCAGTGAATCGCAACCCAATTTTGGGGGGAGGAAGGGTGTGTGTGTGTGGCAGCTAAAATTCTTAGCTTATTTGAAAGTATGTACAATATGTTCTCACAGGACTCAAGAAAATATAGATAACCTTCAGGATATGAATTGTGTGTGTGTGTGTATTGAAAATAAAAGGATTGTAAACAAATGAAAGTTTCATGATAACTAAAGCTTTTTAATTGTAAAAGTCCTTATAATTACGGATGTAAAAGAAATATCAAAGCCATGAATAGTCTCTAAAACTAACATTTCTTTAGCCTGATGAAATTACTTTAAAAGTTGGCAGAGTATTAATCTGGGCAGAGCCTGGCAGACTGTGCTTAATTTCATGTAAAATGTAAAAAGTTTAAGCAATAAATATTGTTGGAAGCTCTTAAGACTATTTGAAAATTTGAATAAATAGATCACACTCTTAATGCCACAGTAATTTAAATATGGTTTGTGTTACAGGGTATATCTGAGGGTTAAAGGAACCTGACTGAAAAGAGCACAAAGCAGTATTTTGATTTTCCTCTTTATTCAGACTACCAATAAAAGCAAAAATAGCTTCAATTCTTTATCCAGATTTGCAAGTACAATTTGTATTCACTTAAATTACTCCACATTCTACTGTCAACAGTTTCTCCTTACCCTTTAGATAAGACAGTCTTTTCAAAATTAAATGTTAGAGAATTTTTTTCTCCTGAACTCCAGTTGTTAGCCCTGATCTCTTAACCTTATAAATATGTGTATTTTAGGTCAGGATACAAGCTTAATAAATATGTACTTTATTCTAATACTTTTTCTAACTTACTGAAGAGTTGAAGAAGTACAAGTGTTAGCTGCAATATTTTCCCTCTCCCTCTGTCTATCTTTATCCCTCTATCTCTCTCAGACAAATTGGCAACCGGCCTTCATCTAGCTAATTATTCTTTTGCAAATAAGACCCTTCCTTTTCTTTTCTTTTTTTCATCTTCAAATGCGCTGAAGGTCCTCTGTCAGAAGCACATTTTTTTACATGCCAGTTCCTTTTCTTCTCCAGTACTCTTTCCCCACTTGTATTCTCAAAAACTTTGTGGACTTTATATCACACTTGTATTAACAAGCCTTTAGCAGTACAAACCCTGCCTAATCTATTTTAGCCCCCAAACCACACTTTTTTTCTGAACTGAAACCAGCAGCACATCTTCAACAGCATTACAGCTGTCTTGGCCCATTTTAGCCTTTGCAGATGACAGCCATTCCCTTCATTTCCCTGCTTGTCCTTCTCAGAGTTCTCTTTGCCAGAGTTTCAGTGACTTCACTTTTGATGTCAGTGTGCATCCGATATTGAAACCAGCACATCTGCTTCCCTTTCTTTCCTATGAGACCTGTGTCTTTAGGGGTTTATAGTAATATTTGTGCTCGTCTCCCTATTGGCAAAACAAATAAAAATATTTTGTTTGGGTGTCCACGTGGATATGTGCAGAACCAGCAAGAAATTATTGCTGAGGGCAGGTGAATCACAGTTTGTGGTAGGTGTCTTCTGAGGTTGGCCTGCGGTGCTCTTAAATGTTTATTATCTTGTAACTTTAACTAATTTGCAAAACTATAGAAAGATAGTAATTCTAGAATAGGGGTCTCCAAACTCGGCAATTTTAAGACTTGTGGATTTAAACTCCCTGAATTCCCCAGCCAGCATAGAAATATGACTGGCTGAAGGATCCCAGGATTTGGGAGTTGAAGTCCGCAAGTCTTCAAGTTGTCTAGTTTGGAGACCCCTTTTCTAGAAAGACAACTTTGACTAATAATAATGGTCAGGCTACTACCGTACAAGTATTTGTTTTTTTAAAAGTTCCCAGAAGCTTCTTTTGAGATTCATCTTGATAATATATTTATTGGCATTTTCTTAGTAAATTTCACTTTCGCTAGTAAACGAAGAGAATAATATTAAGAATAGAAAATTATATTTTCCTAAAAATGTGCTTGTTGTTTAAGAATTTCTCAATGCAATATAAAATGCTTTTTAAAAGAGCCAATAAAATAACTTTTTAAATAATTGCATACCTTAGTTCCAAGCCACCAAAGCATGCAGAAGAGCTCTGGTTTAGGAATTTATTGTTGAATTCAGACATATTTAAGGATTTTTTCCTCAAATAAGCATTACTTTTTTCTGCTTGTAATAGTTGCCTCAGCAGGTGGCAGCACCTACCCACCTACCCAGTCCTTGCTGATCTCAGAACCTAAGCAGGATCAGCCCTGGCAAGTAATTGGATGAGAAACTGCCTGGGAATTCTAGGGTTGCAGGCTACATGGGATCATTGGGAAAAAACATCTAGAAGAACATAACGACAAGCCACCTCTATAATACTGCCCAGAAAACTGCATGGCTGTGGTCCCTAGGAATCAAGTTTAAATTGAGGGCATCTTTACTGCAACTAATTACACTTAAGGCTATATTTCCACAATATGAGCATTTCATTCTACTGGGAAATGTTAATGCTAAAAATCTCTCTTATGAAAACACATCCATAGCACAACCTTCAAAGAAAATTAAAATTTATAAGGAAATATAGACATTGTGCTTTTACAACTTTAGACTTGTAAAACCTTTCTCTGAGAACATTTGCATCATTACCTTTATGAAAGCTTTCCTCAATTATTAGTAAGTTATGACTTTTGCTTTGTGGTTGTTACTTTATGTTGATATAATCAAAAGTACATCCTATTAAATTCTATCGAACTTGTAAGATAAAAAAATTGGCCTAGAATTATAACACTAATGTTAAAACATTATTTCTGATAGCTTGTTTAGTAAATGTAAATGTGGAAAAATACATTCCCACATAAAATTTTATTTAGAGATACTTATTAGAACTCTACAATTTTTATTAAGCTGCATTTGTAAATTGAGTTTAATTATAAAATTTTGCTCACAGATATACATTGAAATGAGGCATATATACATTTGTATCAGTTTGTTACCATTCCAAATTACTATGAATTCCTGAATTTGAAAACACATTTTTCCATTGCAATCTACACTGATGTGTTAAAATTCAGGCCTCTGTTTTCCATTTCTCTGCGATGTACTTATTGTGGAAGGCAGTCTAGTTTCTACCGAATTTCTCTTTAATTACAGCTTCCATTTTCTTATTTTGTCAAATGAACGTTAAGATTGAAATAATCTTGTTACAGGCAGGAATTGTTCCAAAAGGCATCTGTGGAGATTTATTGAAGTAGTTTTAAATTAAATGAGGTCAGAATTATAGCAAAAATGGTGGACTCTATAAAGGTGAATTTAATTTCATAATTTCATGGTTAAATTTACATCTGACTTGAGAAGGAACATTAAACTGAGAAAATGCACATCTGCTAACTTAAAAGATAGGAAATTGCACTAATGAAATGAAGAAATGATATTTAGAGTTAACGGTAAAGTATGGAGGTAAAATGTCATAGGTGGACAGTTTGTGCTCTGAGACATTTAATTTTAGTGACTAAAATATAATATAGCAAACTTCCGTATGCTAAACAACATGGAGAGTCTTCTTTGTCATATTAGAATGAAAAAACATGAAATACTGTATGTTGTCATAAAGGAAGTCAAAATAATGTTTCATTGTTCAGTATTTTTTCCACTGAGTACCAGACTTTTAATGTTTGTATGATCTAGTTTATATACTATACTACTATGGTACTATAAAAATAGTTCTGTTCCAGAGGTGGTATTCAGCAGGTTCTGACCAGTTCGGGAGAACTGGTAGCGGAACTTTTGAGTGGTTCAGAGAACCGGCCAATACCACCTCTGACTGGCCCCACCCCCAACTATTCTCTGCCTCCCGAGTTGTTGCCCTGCACAGGAGAACAGAGCTGGAAAGCAGATTAGTGGGGTGGTGAGGGGATGGGATTTTGCATTAACCTTCCCCCTGGAGAGGGGTGGGAATGGAGATTTTACAGTATCCTTCCCCTGTCATGCCCACAAGCCATGCCCATCAAGCCATGCCACACCCTCCAAGCCATGCCCACAGAACCAGTAGTAAAAAAATTTGAATCCCACCACTGTTCTTTTCACAATTAGATTTATTTTTAAAGATTTTGAGTAGACAAATTTGGGGAGAACAAGTCTATCAATGATAAAAAAAATATGAAGTCTATGTTCTACATGGTATAAAATCTAGGATCACTGGGAATATGAAGGACTCAGCAGCAATAGCATGTCCTATAATTAGTCATTTTGAAAGAGAATATTTGCTGTAGATTAAGTCTGGTCTGATTTAGTAAGAACACATTTTTTTTAGATTTGTCTGTATATGATGATACTTTAAAATACTGAACAAAACAACTAGTTGAGATCATCTTAAATATTTGCTTAACTTTAAAAATGTTTGTCTATGTTCAAATCAAAGGACTTTCATGTATTTATAAATTAATAATTTATACAATTATGAATGTTCTCATATTGAACATGATTTATTCATATATCTATTTCCTTGAAATTATTATTAAAGTATTTTTTTTCAAGTGATATGCTGCCCTTCTGCATAGGCTTTTTAACATTTTCCTTTGAAGAAATTTCTCTGTTGTATTACCAGTAATGATAAAATGGTATTGTGTAACATCAGTTATAATTAACAAACTCTAATCTGCAGAAGTTCATGTCACAAATGTACATAAATAAGACTTAATTAAACATTAAATGGAAGAATTATTGGTCACTGTCATTCATTTTAAAATGGTTATTATAATTAGCTTCCATTTTCCTCTTTGAATTCAGATTAAAAGATACATGAAAAATATTGATTGCCAAAATGATGTCAGCAACTCTTCTAAACTTAGGTAATGAATTGACAAGAAGCCAGTAGTGACTGTGTAATGAGCCTTCATCTGGAAAATGACTATTTGAGGAAAAGCTTATCGTAATGGAGGAAAGAGGAAGGAGTCTGGATTCTGGGCATAGCAGAAAATCAGACAGTGATAAAAGCAGTAATTCTTATTACTCAGATGATGATTCATCTCATGCTTCTGATCAGTCTCCAACCATCAGCACTCAATCTATACAAACTGTAAATAGAAGCAATAAAATACAGAACTTGAAAAGCCATGCAGATTATCATGGTATGTATTGGCAAAATACAATTTATTATGTGTGTGTCTGTGTGTATCATAGTGTTAAATGAATTATGTGAAAATAAGATTATTTCCTTTGAAATATGGCATATTTCAAAACTGAGCTGACATTTGTAATAAAAATTAACATTTAGGTTTTAAAATAAAGTACAATTTACTCAACAGAAAGTACCCTGGCTTGCTTTTTCTTTGTAATTAAATTGGTACATACTTTTGTTCTTGTAATTATATGTATTAATTGAATATAGTCAGTTATAAATATCTCCTTTCTTCACTCATAGTATAGCATCTTAGATACAAGACAGTAGAGAGAGTAGGTATCAACTGATCATGACCATTTAAACATTCATTTAGCAATAATATTGCATGAACAGACAGTATAAAATATAACTTGCTTTTCTTTAAAAAGATTGATAAAGGTCTCTATTTTTAAATACAGACTCAAGATTTAGTTAGTCATAAGGTGTTTACAAGGGATTTGGGCTGCAAAAATTCAGATACTAGATGGACTGCCATTAAATGATTCAGATTTTTTGCACACCAGATACAGTATTAGTTTCATTTTAGTTTTATTTTAGATAGATGAGGCATCTATTTTTAATTTTTCTCCTTGCTTACTTTTGTCCAACTCTATTGCCTCTCTTCTCTTACCCCAACCCATAAGTGCTTTTAAACTTTACAATGATTTGAAGGATTCACATTCTCCTTTACTGTGCCAACATATTGAACTCTGTTAGGTTGGTATCATTTTAAAAGACTGTGTAGGCTTTTAGAAAATCAAGATTAAAAAGAATAAACGGTGTAAGAGTTAATATATGCTGATTTCATAGTGAATATTGGAGAGATTGTTGTCATATGTTTGCAAGCAATGAGAAATTGTACATCTAGGATATTTCAGTCCTGGGATGATTTCACTAATTTTCATTGTAATCTTAACCTTGTTCTATTTCTTTGTAGCCACAAAGCAGTTTTACTCTAAATACGCACCCAGCAAGAGAACCCGCTGGGGTTTTTACTCCCAGAGCCTCACCAGGGAGTCTCCTGCCAAAGATATCAGTCTTGTTACAAAGAGAGTGCTTTCTGCTAGGCTGCTGAAAATTAACGAGCTTCGTAATGAACTGTCTGGGTTGCATGTCAAACTTGATGAGTTGCAGAAAGAAAATAGGGTACTAAAGCAGCTTCAGTACAGACATGAGAAAGCCCTTCATAAGTTTGAAGGTACAGAAAATGAAATCTCTCAACTTCTGGTGCGGCATAATGATGAGATGAGAATACTAAAGGAGCGCTTAAGAAAAACACAAGAAAGAGAACAAACAACTGAGAAGAAACTCAAGGCTTCAGAGGAAGAGCTATTCAAAGCTAAAAGTGGTTTGCAAAAACTGAAAAAACTTGCAGAAGATAAGAATCTCCCTGAACGTGATGAGCTGGCTAAGAAGCTGGCAATTGCAGAAAATAGATTGGAAGATAGTGAGAAGAAAATTAAGGTGAGAGCCCTTTAAAAAAGCATTTCAAAAGATACGTTTTATTTTGTACATTCTATGGTACGTGCCATATTTACACACTTACTGGCTACTCATACACAGGAAAAAAACCTTAAACTGAAACAGGCCAATTTAGTCTTGTGATTTCTTTGAATCTGATAAAGAACCATTATCACATGTTATTTACTAACATTGCCATTATAATTCACAGTTGTAAAATCCTAGCCAGTAAACAGTGGGACTGTTACTTCTAAACATACTTTATACTTTTAAATAAATATGTATAAAATTTCCAAATTCTAAATTCACATTTTCTTTTGACATAGTACTAATTTTCTTTTGACATACTACTAATTCATTAGAATCCTTAATTGGATCCTTAAGAGGGGAGCAGAGTTCACAGAAAGCCTGCTTTGTGTACCTGCTAATAGAAAAGGATGAAGTAGTTTTCACCAACTTCCCTATGTTCTAAGAAAACCTGATCTATAGAATGGGATTTTTCTGGAATTATATAGACGTGATGCAGAGACAGATTATTGGTGAGAATAGTCCTCAATCTTCTCATAATAATCCCTCCATTATTTAAGGCCCTTCATTCATCAAACTCACAGGGATAAAATTTCTAAGGTTACTTTGTCACTGTGTTTGCAAATGTTAATGCAGTTTTAGGGTTAAGTTTATGGGACTATGTGTATAATATTTTTGTGCTGTTGTTAAAATTGATTTAATTTTGCTCGATTTATTATTAAATTTGTATGCCGCCCATTGCATTGCTCAAGCAAAGGAAGGTTTACAGAATAATATAAAAGTTAAGAAAGGCAACAAAAACACTTAAAATTAGGAAGATTAAATAAACTAAATACCAAGAGGATGAGCAGCAGAGGAGTGGGGATCTTTTCTTATTATTTGCCATCCACCAAGAGTTGAAAATTGTAGCATAGGGGTCTAAATGAATGAAAAAGAAAATAGAATAATATGAATGTTCAATGGAAACATGAAACTTTATTAAAGCTGAATAAAACTGAATAAAATTGGCAAGAAGTCTCCAACCACTTCTAGCCTCCTTCTTACCACCATGATAAAATCTCTACTTGATTAGGAATTAAGTTTTAATACTGTATTGCTAACATAGGATCTAGAACTTTTCATCAAGTTATTTCTTCTTTAAAGTCATACATATGACCATATGCTATTTCTCTAAATTGCAATGGAAAGTTAGTGGAAATTTATGCTGTGTGAAAATAAATTAGCATTCAGTAATAAAGAGCTGGAAAAGAGAGCAAGTCTTCTTTTTTTGCCTTTGTACTTACAGCATTTGTCCAGGGAGAGCAAAACGTGAATCTCCGTTCAAACCCTATGATAAACAAAAGGCAGCTCATTTTGATGTCCCAAAGGTGCTTTTTCAAGAGACAACTGGACTTTCTGCTTTGATATTTCGCTTCTCATCCAAAAAGCTTCTTTAGCTCTGACTAGATGGTTGGGATCAGAGCTGAAGAAGCTTCTCAGATGAGAAGTGAAATATCTTCAAAGAAAAACCAGAAAGTCCAGTTACCTCTTGAAAAAGCACTTTTGGGACTACCATGACCTGGATGACTGAGAATCTCCATAGACAATCTGTTTTGGTGCCTCTTGAGTAGAAGTTCAGACTTTCTATAAGATACATTGATAAGTTTATGCATCTTTATATTTCCTTTCAGTTCATCAGATGTTGGGTGACATTTTGTCATGATGAAAATAAACAAGACTTTCAATTTCTGACCCATTGCATATTGCATCCAACCCGTGACATCAACAAATTAGAGAAATTTGTGAAATTCTTTATAATTTAAATATTTTGATAGGGTTGAGAAAGGCCATGAAATGGAATGAAATATTTCATGTAGAAAAGTATTTGAACACAAACAATTCCTCAGTTTTGTCCTTCAAAAATATTTTTTACCAAAAACATGATTTTACTATTATACTGAATTGTAGGAATTTGAGAAGAAGCTTGATCTTAGCAGTAGTAGTTTCCAAAGACAACTGCACTCTATGAAAAAGAAATTTTATGAAGCACAAGAAGAAAATAAGATTATTCAAGAGGAAGTCCAACGATTGAAACAAAAATTAAAGGTAAAAATTGGTATTGTCTAGCATAGAACATGTTTATAACATATCTTCTAATCCAAAATATTTTTTCCATATCTCACATAGTTCAATATAACTGCCTTGTTTCCCTGACAATAAGACCCAGTGCTATTTTCTTTTTGGCCCCAAAATAAGCATCGGGTCTTGTTTTCAGGGGATGTCTTACCCACTTACCTTAGGACCACCGCAACCACGCCTCCCATGTCTGTTGCACCGCTGCTTGACTTCTTCTGCGGCTGCTCACAACTGCTCATGGGCAGATGCCACATACCGTGTTGATGCCGTGCTCGCAGCAGGACCCTGTGAGGTTTGCTGCACCAGTGCTGCTGCTCATGGCATGATGCCGTGAGCTGCTGCTTAGGTTTCCTGAGAGGGCTGTGGCTTTGGCCATGCTGCTAAGGGCAACTTGAGTTACCTGCAGCTTTGCACTGTACTGCGAGGACAGCTGGGGTTTCTCAGGGCATGGCAGTTTGCTCCACACTGTTAGGGTGGTTTAGGTTTCAGAATTGTCTGTGGCTTCTTGCAGCTACAGAATTGCAGTGCACTAAAAGCCTCTGAGCTACAGTAATGACAAGCAGCGCCTGAGCCATTTGTTCTGGGACCGCTTGCTACCCTGCAAGTTAGATTAAAGTGTAACCAAAAGAGCAGAAATGGTGGTGGCGGTGAAACAGATGATACAGAGAGTTAAAGAGGAAGCAATCCTTTTCCTTATGAAAACTCGGAGCTGGGAGATGTCCAGAACGGTTGGACTGAGCTGGGTCCATGGCTAACAACAGTGGAATTTGGTTAATGATGGACTGCTGTCGCCACGTGATGTGATCAAATGACATCATACTTTATGACCACATTGCTTAGCAACAGAAATTCCCATTTGTGATCATAAATTGAGGACTACCTGTACTCCCTCCACCGTTCAGCCTAATGATTGACAGTGGCTGCCTTCATAATCAATTTCAGAAATTATGCAAAACTAAGAAAAATAATCCTTGTTAAAAACATGACTTTAAATTTTGGAATTAAGCAAAACTAAATCCCAATTTTACTTTATCCAATCTTATTTTACTAATGTGTAAGATTCACAGTTTTATTCTGTATAAAGATCAAAATGTAATTATTAAAAGTAAATAGATATACATATCCACCCTATTCCCAATGAAGCAATTAAATTTTATTTTTGGGTAAGGTAAAGATCCCCACACATATGTATGCTAGTCATTTCTGGCTCTAGGGGTAGTTGTCTTCTCCGTTTCTAAGCTGAGGAGCCAGTGCAGTCCCAAGACGTCACCATGGTCATGTGGCCGATATGACTAAACGGCGAAGGCGCACGAAGCGCTGTTATCTTCCCACCAAAGTGGTCCCTATTTTTCTACTTGCATTTTTTTAAGTGCTTTGGAGCTGCTAGGTTGGCAGAAGCCGGAACAAGTAACGGGAGCTCACTCCATTACAGATTCGAACTGCTGAACTGCCAGCCTTCTGATCAACAAGCTCAGCATCTTAGCCACTGGGTTACACAAATTAATATTGGTGATTTAGGCAATTAGGATATGGAGTTTGAGAATCCCTGTGATATAAAATTAAGTTCTGGCTTTGTCTAAATTGTTAGGCTCATTAGTCATATTAGGGCTGCAACACAGACATAATGTTATTCAAAAGAAGTCTTCCTTAGACTGCAGATGTATAGTACATCCCTTGTAAAAACCTGATAACGATCTGTTTAAAGATTGGTCAAAGTATATCCTTCCTTTCACAGGTTCATTTATGCCTTATAAAACTGAATAGTAGTGCACAGTTTTTGTTACATAATCTTATGTCATCCCATTCCACATCTGAAAGTTATTTTGCCTTCCGGAGTATAGAGTTTATATTCTGGGCAGAGAGGGTGTATTATATTGTATCATCAAGTAATAAAACATCTGGGCTGAATACTTTGAACACTTCAGAATTATCTGGTTACTCACATACAACTCCAAGACATATATTTGTTATAAAAATTGAAATATAAATATTGGGCATATATCTCAAAAATCTTAACGAGGCACTAGAACTAAAAATGTAAGAATTGCTTAGTTTTCTGACAATTTGTGTGCTTCTATTTTTATTAGGAAAAAGAGAGAGAATTAGATGCAAAAAATATATATGCTAATCGTATGTTAAAACACTCACCCAAAAAGCATGATGATATCACACCAAGAAAAAAAGGTAAATACTATATTAACAGTTATATGCAAAATTGTGAAGGTTTACTTTAAATAAGATATCACTCGGTGAGTGATTTCTCAGTATTTCCGTATTTCTAGCATATTGAATCCATTGCCTGTCCTTTTTAGTGTTTAATCAATTGAAGAGTGAATGATCTTTATTCTAATTTTTGCATTTGAAAACTGAAGCAAATCAACTCTTAGATCGATTAAACAAGAATAAATTATTATGCAATGGTATTGTTATGTGTGAAGAAGCAATTGGCTAAGAGGTTTTTAAATCTTTATTGCTGTCAGCATTCCAGACTTCTTACAGCTCCATATTCCATTACAGATGTTTTAAGGGACTCTCTTTTGATATACATTCAAGTCATTCATATTACTAATGAAACAAATGGGTGTAAACGTCCTGAAACTGTTTGTAACCGTTTTAAATAAAACTATTTAAAATATGGCACAAAATTTATTATAGTTGTTGAGAAAAACACTGTAAGAGAAGTACAGAACACAAAAGGAGTACAGACTACTGGATTCCTTTCCCTGATAGAATTTCCATTGCCACCAGACTTCATTTCTGATGAAATAGCCCAGAAAAAGGAAGAAGATGGGCATCTCCAATTGGTGAGTTGAAACTGTAAATTCCCTTTTTACTGTCTTCTGTTAGTCACTAGCTTCTCTCCAATGTCGTTGAAAATGTTTGTGTTCAAGTGAAAGTAGATAGTCCTCGACTTACAACCATTCATTTAATATAAGTCAGAAAAAGTGACATGATCTCTATTTGCACTTCTGACCATTGCATCACCCTTGCAATTACATGATCCCAATTTGGGCATTTGGCAACTGGTGTGCATTTATGACCCCTTGTAGCATCTTGTGCTCATGTGATTGAAATCTGTGACCTTTTTTTAGGGCAAAAACCACTGATTGGGGAAACTGGATTTGCTTAATGACTGCGTTGCTTGCTTAGTGACACTCTAATTCACTTAATGACCACCATAAAACTGTCATGTAATTGGCTCGACTCAATTTATGACCACAAGGATTTACGATGAAAATTTTGGTTCCAATTTGGTTGCAAGTCCAGGACTAGCTGTAACTGCAAATTGAAAATCTAAGTGTTAGCATGATAAAATATAGGAATGCCCAGGTTTCTTCAGATATCTAAGATCTGAAAATTTTGTGAGTTGAATCCAGCTAGAAGTCATTGGGAGGAAGCAGGCAGCATCTTTTTGTCTGCTTCGTTAAGCGAGAGTCCTTCTTATATCCCTGAAAAGCCTTTCTTAAGAATGGAAAGTCCTTTGTGAATGGAATAGAGGGTGGCTGAGCTAAAAGGGATCTTGAATAGCAGGTGGTAGCATCTTCCTTAAGTAGGTAAGGAGTATACTCTACTCTTTCTACTAAGAGTATTTTGATCATAATTTGCTGATATTTTTAGTTAATGTAACTTGTTGCAAATGAATTGAAATGACAGTATTTGTTCTAATTTCATCCCAATGGTTTTTGAAGAGCTTTTCATTCTACGTTTATATTTTTAGGAACATCTAGTTAAAGATTGGAAAGAACAAAGGGAGGATTTCAAGCAGGAACAGAACCAAGAAAGAGAAAGAGAAGAGAAACTAAAAAATGAACAAGAACTCCAAGCACTGGAAGAAAGAGCCAAGAAACTAAGAGAAGGTAAAGTAGAAATGTTTACATTTGCAGGATTTATGTATGAAAATGTCGTGTAATATATACCCTTCCTCCAATTATTATCAGCTATATTTATTATATAATGGTTATTCTCGAATAATAAACAAAATACTTTTTTATTTTTACACTGCAATAAGTAAATATTATAGATGAGGTTTTATCTTTGATTGTTGTGGGGCAGCGAAACAGAATCCTATGACATAAATCAAGTGGTTCTTAAACTGGAGGTAATTACCCCCAGTGGGATAATTTGGACATGTCCTGGGGATAATGGAGCAATTTGTAATTGCTTGTTTATGAGTTGAGGATCCAGTTTGGAACTGCCTTGGTGCCAAGACACTTGTGAAAACAATGGATGTGAATATTATTACAATGGCATAATAACATTATTAGAGACAGGCAAAAGAGGTAATTGGATGAAGCAGTTTAGGAATCACTGACATAGAACCTTAAGCATTGTATTGAGGACCTCTAGGCAAAAGATAAGACCTCTCGAGTACAATTCCTGGATGTGTCCTTAGTAACTGTATGGAAGTGGCTTACCAATATCATCTTCTGGTTGTTTTTCGCTTATCAAGCCTTCAGCTCTAGGATTTTTTTGTGGCTGCCAAACCAAGTATTAAAGAGGACTGGCTTCCCTAGCTGTTTTTAAAACAAATGGTTGTTAGATGCCACTATCTCCTTCGAGTGCTTGGCTCAGTGCAGTAATGATGGTGGTCTCCATAGAACTCAATGGTTCAGGACCAAATAATCTAGATAAACCTGCCTCCCAATACAAACCAACTCATATGTCAAGAACAGCAGGAGAACTACTCTTTATGGTTCTACCTGTAGATTTGGCAGCGTAGTGAATAGGAGGAATAAAATGGTTATGTCACACAGTTATGATACTCTCACTTGGAAAAAATATAGACTATCCCCATATTATATAGTCTCAAAAGATAATGCTTGTTCTCAAGATGTTTTCAAGATGGCAATTCAGAAGCAGATACTTTTTAAGTGAACACTTTTTTCAACTGCATAGCTCTATGCTATATTTTAATGGTTATTTTCCTTTGAAATTTGTTTTATTGTACTGAGTTTACCATTTCATTGTTTAGTTTCTGTATAAACCTCTGGAATTCTTAAGGAAAGAGGAAATATATATCTGTGTGTGTATAGTATAAATAAATGAGTGTATGTGTATGTATGTACATATCCACTGTATTTGTGTGTGTACATGAATATATGTATAAAACTACCACGAGAGATATAGTTTTTACACTTTTTTGCAATCCTAAACACTGGGACGTGGTGGCTAAGACACTGAGCTTATCGATCAGAAGGTCGGCAGTTTGGCAGTTCGAATCTCTAGCACTGCGTAATGGAATGAGCTCCCGTTACTTGTCCTAGCTTCTGCCAACCTAGCAGTTCAAAAGCACACAAAAATGCAAGTAGAAAAATAGGGACCACTGTGGTGGGAAGGTAACAGTGTTCCGTGCACCTTTGGCGTTTAGTTATGCCGGCCACATGACCACGGAGACGTCTTGGGACAGCGCTGGCTCTTTGGCTTTGTAAAGGAGATCAGCACCGCCCCCTAGTGCTGGAAATGACTAGCACATATGTGCGAGAGGAACCTTTACCTTTCCATGTACACATCAGAGACAAATTCCTTGTGTATCTGATCCCACTTGGCCAATAAATAATTATGTTCCTTTTTTAAAAAAAGTTTTATTGTTTTTTTAAGACAAACATAAAGAAACACAACATAAAAACATCAAACCATCTTCCATATATGTGCATACAGTGTGCTTCCACTCTGTAGCCTTCAATCACAATTACATTGTATATGTTCTCATATTGTCAAACAAATATTCCTAAATACATTAATATCATTGTTAATCAATCATTTGACTATACTATTATTCATTCATGTTTTGCAAAATAATCCATATTTTACTTAATTTGTTTTATGATAGTTCATATTTCCATCTCAAATCTATCCTATAATCATTTTGTAGATATAATTAAAAAAAATACATCTTTATATATTCATTATGTTCTAAAAATCTGCATATTTCATTGCCATGTTTTATTGTCTAACCATTGATAGAATAGATCCCAAATTTTATAAAATTGTTTATCTTCTTGTTCTCTGATTTCAAATGTCAACCACCTCATTTCAGCACATTCCATTATTTTCTTAATAACTTCCTCCTGTGTTGGTATTTTCTCATTTTTCCAGTTTTTAGCAAATACTAGCCACTATTAATACATTTACAATCAAACATTTCAATTCTTTACTATATATTTCAGGTAAAATTCCCAATAAAAATATCTCTGGTTTCAAGTCTATATGCTTTTTTGTCATTTTTTCCAACCATGTGTGGATTTTAGTCCAATATTTTTTTGGCATCCGCACAAGTCCACTACATATGGTAATATGAGCCAGGTACCTGATGACATTTCCAACATTTTTCAGATTTGTTCTTGAACATTCTTGCTATTCTTGTTGGGGAGAAAAATGCCACCTGTAAAACATCTTATACAAGTTTTCTTTATATGCTGTTGACTTTGTCATTTTATAATTTTGAGACCACAATTTTTGCCGTTTCTCTAGATCAATCCCATATCCAAAATTCTTCTCCCAAGCAATCATTGTTTCTTTGACTTGTTCTTCTTCTAGTTTAATTTCTAATAAATGTCCATATAATTTTTAATCAGCTTTTCATCAGTATCTGTTAAAATCTTACCTAAATCACTCAATTTATCATAAAAAGCTTCTGTTTTAGAATCTTTATCATACTTTGACTGTATTTGCGCATATGAAAACCAATTCATCTTTATACCTTGTTCCTCTAGTTTTTGCATAGATTTAAGTTTACCCTTTTCGTTCAATATTTCACCATATCTAACTGTTTGTTCCTTTTTGTGCACTGCTCAAAAAAATAAAGGGAACACAAAAATAAGACATCCTAGATCTGAATGAATGAAATATTCCTATTAAATACTTTGTTCATTATGTAGTTGAATGTGCTGACAACAAAATCACACAAAACTTATCAATGGAAATCAAATTTAGCAACCCAGGGAGGTCTGGATTTGGAGTTACACTCAAAATTAAAGTGGAAAAAAACACTACAGGCTGATCCAACTTTGATGTAATGTCCTTAAAACAAGTCAAAATGAGGCTCAGTAGTATGTGTGGCCTCTACATGCCTATATGACCTCCGTACAACATCTGGACATGCTCCTGATGAGGTGGCGGATGGTCTCCTGAGGAATCTCCTCCCACACCTGCACTAAAGCATTCCTCAACTCCTGGACAGTCTGTGGTGCAACGTGGTGTTGGTGCAACGAGTGAGACATGATGTCCCAGATGTGCTCAATTGTTCCCCGTCTGGGGAACAGGCGGGCCAGTCCATAGCATCAATGCCTTCGTCTTTCAGGAACTGCTGACACACTCCAGCCACATGAGGTCACATGAGGTCTAGCATTGTCGTGGATTAGGAGGGACCCAGGGCCAACTGCACCAGCATATGGTCTCACAAGAGGTCTGAGGATCTTGTCTCGGTACCTAATGGCAGTCAGGCTACCTCTGGCAAGCGCATGGAGGGCTGTGCGGCCCCCTAAAGAAATGCCACCCCACACCATTATTGACCCACTGCCAAATCGGTCATTCTGGAGGATGATGCAGGCAGCAGAACGCTCTCCACGGCATCTCCAGATCCTGCCACATCTGTCACATGTGCTCAGTGTGAACCTGCTTTCATCTGTGAAGAGCACAGGGCGCCAGTGGCGAATTTGCCAATTTGGTGTTCTCTGGCAAATGCCAAACGTCCTGCACGGTGTTGGGCTGTAAGCACAACCCCCACCTGTGGACGTCGGGCCCTCATACCACCCTCATGGAGTCTGTTTCTGACCGTTTGAGCAGCCACATGCACATTTGTGGCCCTCTGGAGGTCATTTTGCACAGCTCTGGCAGTGCTCCTCCTATCCCTCCTTGTACAAAGGTGGAGGTAGCGTTCCTGATGCTGGGTTGTTGCCCTCCTACAGCCTCCTCCACGTCTGCTGATGTACTGGCCTGTGTCCTGATAGCGCCTCCATGCTCTGGACACTACGCTGACAGACACAGCAAACCTTGCCACAGCTCACATTGATGTGCCATCCTGGATGAGCTGCACTACCTGAGCCACTTGTGTGGGTTGTAGACTCCGTCTTATGCTACCACTAGAGTGAAAGCACCGCCAGCATTCAAAAGTGACCAAACCATCAGCCAGAAAGCATAGGAACTGAGAAGTGGTCTGTAGTCACCACCTGCAGAACCACTCTTTTATTGGGGATGCCTTGCTACCTGCCTATGCTTTCCACCTGTTGTCTATTCCATTTGCACATTTCACCTGTTGTCTATTCCATTTGTGAAATTGATTGTCAATCAGTGTTGCTACCTAAGTGGACAGTTTGATTTCACAGAAGTGTGATTGACTTGGAGTTACATTGTGTTGTTTAAGTGTTCCCTTTATTTTTTTGAGCAGTGTATATTAAAGGATAAGAAAATGCTTCAATAGTCGATAGCCAGACCGGAATTTTTAAATAACAATGCCTTTTAGTTTTCTCCCCGTTTAACCACAGAGGCTCTTGTATATAATGTCTTCTAAAATATCCCTGTGTTTTAGTTCCTTTATACCATAAAAAAGCATGCCACCCCAACAGCAGATCATGTCCTTCTAATGTCAACAATCTAGTATTTCTTAATGTTATCCATTCCTTAACCCATATCAAGTTTGTAGCTTGGTAATACAACTCCCAATTAGGCAAACCAAATCGTCCCTCTTATTCTAGCATCTTGCAAAAGTTTTAATTTTATCCTCACTTTCTTACCTTGCCATATATATTTCAACACAATTTAATTTAAATCTTCAAAATAATCTTTTCCAAGCCTAATTGGAATTGTTTGGAACAAATATAAAATTCTGGGTAATATATTCATCTTGATTGTTGATATT